ATGTGCCAGACACTGTTCTAGCCATTTGGAGTACATCAGTGAATAAAACAGACAAAATTCCTTACCCTCAAGAAGCCTGCATTGCTAGGCAATAAACAAATATAATGAGTAAATCACAGACTATTTTGGAAGATGATAAGCACTATGGAAAATTGAGGCGGGGGGCTTTCTTTTGTCAGGATTTAGTAGTGAATCACTAGAGATAATAGTTTATTTAATTTGAGCTATTTAAATAAGCCATTCTTTAAATGGCAGACTTTAATCTGCACCCAATCAGAAGAGAGTTTGTGATTTGCAATATTCAAGATTGGTTTTCTTTTATAAAATTGACAATAACTGGCTTTCCCATTTTGGCAGTAGAAGAAAAATAATAGTTTAGGGAATTGCTTCTAAGGAGTCCTAAGTAAATTATGTGTTTTAAAATTTGTACTACTATAAAGAAGAAGGAAAAAAATTAAGTCTCAAATCATTAAAAATAATTTTGTGTTTTATACTAATCTCTAAGGCTGATTTAAATTTTTTTAAGAACTTTATTCCTCTTCTTGTCTCCTTCCCAGTTTAATTTTTTGCTTGTTTAGATTTCCATATTTAGGTAAAAAGTGTAGGTCCTTTTGGAATTTATAGGGACGCTTCATGGTATGGATGAAGAAGCGCAGGACTTTCGCTTTATCTCTCTGGGTCGCTCAGAAGTAAGAGAAACAGACTGGCTCTGTGGAGAACCAGAAATCACTTATCCATCTTTACTTTCAAATAACCAAATCAAAAGATCTCACATTTCACTATACACAGTTTTAAAAGTCAAATTAACGTCACCTGCAGAGTAAGCTAAAAGAGTGATAAGTATTGTTGTGCACAACAGTTGAAATTGTTTTCAGAGTCCTACCACAATGAAAGACTTTTGTTGCTCGCCTTAAAAACTGGAACTGTATGGTAATTCTGATGACTGTCAGTTCCTGTGGGGTGTTTACACAAAGGTACTTATAAATGAAGAGTCATTTTTAGAGCAATTAGAGAAGAGGCTAGACTAGACAGAGAATAGCCAGCTCAGGGGCCTGGCAGGTCGGGGTTAAGGTTTATTGACAGGATAGGGTCAGGGTCTGCGCCGCCACTGTTGGCCCTAGTACCTACCCTCCGGATACACCCAAGACCTCAGCCTGCCTCCCTCCGCTCCCTGCCATAGGCCAAACTCCCATGCAGAATGTGGAGAAGAGAAAGAAGAAAGAGGAGGGGAAGTTCTACTAAAACTTTACAGTTCGGTATGGAAATGCAAGTTTGAAACTATTTGTGTATACTTTTCTGGCCCAGATGTTGTGTCACATTAGGAAGAAGAAACTTTAAAACATACAAAGAATTGTCTGTTCTTTCAACTTTGTAGTTTGCAGTTATTGCATCCTGAAGAAAGAAATTGCCTGGCCAAAGTAGTCTTTTAATTTCATTTTTCCGTTTTGAGTTACAGGTTTCTGGCAAGCTCCCTGACCACTACTATTACCTGGTGGCGCCTATATTTCATCAAATTTAGACATGCAGACTACCTGGATCCAGGCCCAGATGAACTGTTGTGACTGATAAACATGATCCCACCCTGCCCCCGTGCATGCTCCTGCTTTTCCCTTTAAGGGAATCTAAGACTTTGAGTTCCTGAGTCCCCAAGGGAGTTAAAGAAAAATGTGTTCCGGTTTTCAGTATTTGAGTTTGCTCCATGGTTTTCTGTGCTGCATCTCTGCTTGCCCAGAGTCTGGTGAGCATCCCAGCAGTGCCCCCACTCCTCCTGTGTTGGTAATTAATGCAGGGAAAATTTTTTGTTTTTAATAAAAACAAGCAGAGACGTCTATCAGTACCCACAGTCAAGGCAGAATTTGTTTGACATCTTGTGATTGCTGCTTACAAAGAGAATGACAGCAGTTATTAAACAAATAAGAAAAAAGATGCTGTTTATTGGTAGTTTGCAGATATCCTAAGAATATCCTTGCAACATTACTTACTGCCTTTGCTTGCATAAGTAGAAAATAGTGGAATTAATAGAGTCATTGATTTTTGAAGTCTAGATTGCATTAGAGTAATAATAAAAATTCAAATATTAAACAAACATATATTTTCACAAAAATTTTTTTATTGTTGACCCTATTACAGATGTCCCCTATATTCATAATCTCCCCCTCCCCCCCTTTGCCTTCCTCCACTCTAAATGTATTTTTATCTGTATAATACTCTAGGGGATTTTCCTTTCATTAAAGTAGATTTCAAACATTTGTTTTTATTATTATAGGAGGAATATTAGCATTCATTTTAATTAAACTTAATTGCATTTCCCGTGTGAAGTATTTTTTTAGTAGCTATACTAGTATTCCTGTAGGTTTGCTCCGATAAAAGGTTATGAAAAAATTGTCTACTTGCTTCCTAGCAGGTTTGGCTCAGTGGACAGAGTCTTGGCCTGTGGACTGAAGGGTTTAGGGTTTGATTCCCACCAAGGGCATGTACCTTGGTTGCAAGCTCTATCCCGGGCCCTGGTCGGGGTGTGTGTGGGAGGCAGCCAATCAATGTTTCTTTCTCTCTGTTTCTCCCCCTCCCTTCCACTCTTTCTAAAAATAAGTGCAAAAATATCCTTGGGTGAGGATTAACATAGCAAAAACAAAAAATTGTCTATTTTCCGGTCAAGACATACCTTGGTTGCAGGCTCCTTTCTGGCGGAGCACTGCTCAGGGCATGTGCAGGAGGCAACCAATTGATGTGTTTCTATGACATAGATATTTCTATCTTTCCTCTCTCTCCCCCACTCTCTCTAAAATCAATGGGAAAATATCCTTTGATGAGGATTAACAAAAATAATAAGATTTAAACTCCTTATTTTAGAACACAAAGCTCTTTATATTTTGTCCCTGAGACTGCATCTCTAATCCTTGTGATAGGCACTCTTCCCTCAGGCTATAGCACCTATACATTATACAGAGACTACTCTCTGTGTGAAATGCGTATACCACCACTGATGTTCATCTCACAGTACATTTCTGCTCAAACTGTAGAATTCAGCTTAAGTACACTTTGATTTGTATGTACCACCTCTTGGTTCCAGTAGCATCCTGATCACACATCTAGTGCTGTATTGTAACCTTGGCTAAACAGTTTATCTTACTCCCTTCTAGGCAGCGTGGGTATTGTGAGTCAATAGGTGTGGAGTGGGGCCTGGGAATCTGCATGTTCAATAAGCTCCTTGGCAATTTTTGAAGGCACAGACCTCAGTTTTAAGTGGTTTCTAACTTATACTTCAACTCTGAAATCTCAAGGCTTTTCCTTCTTGCATTTTAACTGGTTCTGTGAAGGAGGAAAAAAGCTTTGGGGTAGTTGATTAAAACCAAAAAAAAAAAGCATATTGTAATATTCTTTAATGCCCACAATAAGATAGCTTATTATACTGAAATATAAGACAAGGTAGATATGTAGAAACAAGACAAATAGCCTTATTTAAGAGTGTTTCCTTATCTCTTCAACTTTTTATTCATTAATTCTAAGACTGTTTATTGAGGGTTTGCTATGTGCCAGACACTGTTCTAGCCATTTGGAGTACATCAGTGAATAAAACAGACAAAATTCCTTACCCTCAAGAAGCCTGCATTGCTAGGCAATAAACAAATATAATGAGTAAATCACAGACTATTTTGGAAGATGATAAGCACTATGGAAAATTGAGGCGGGGGGCTTTCTTTTGTCAGGATTTAGTAGTGAATCACTAGAGATAATAGTTTATTTAATTTGAGCTATTTAAATAAGCCATTCTTTAAATGGCAGACTTTAATCTGCACCCAATCAGAAGAGAGTTTGTGATTTGCAATATTCAAGATTGGTTTTCTTTTATAAAATTGACAATAACTGGCTTTCCCATTTTGGCAGTAGAAGAAAAATAATAGTTTAGGGAATTGCTTCTAAGGAGTCCTAAGTAAATTATGTGTTTTAAAATTTGTACTACTATAAAGAAGAAGGAAAAAAATTAAGTCTCAAATCATTAAAAATAATTTTGTGTTTTATACTAATCTCTAAGGCTGATTTAAATTTTTTTAAGAACTTTATTCCTCTTCTTGTCTCCTTCCCAGTTTAATTTTTTGCTTGTTTAGATTTCCATATTTAGGTAAAAAGTGTAGGTCCTTTTGGAATTTATAGGGACGCTTCATGGTATGGATGAAGAAGCGCAGGACTTTCGCTTTATCTCTCTGGGTCGCTCAGAAGTAAGAGAAACAGACTGGCTCTGTGGAGAACCAGAAATCACTTATCCATCTTTACTTTCAAATAACCAAATCAAAAGATCTCACATTTCACTATACACAGTTTTAAAAGTCAAATTAACGTCACCTGCAGAGTAAGCTAAAAGAGTGATAAGTATTGTTGTGCACAACAGTTGAAATTGTTTTCAGAGTCCTACCACAATGAAAGACTTTTGTTGCTCGCCTTAAAAACTGGAACTGTATGGTAATTCTGATGACTGTCAGTTCCTGTGGGGTGTTTACACAAAGGTACTTATAAATGAAGAGTCATTTTTAGAGCAATTAGAGAAGAGGCTAGACTAGACAGAGAATAGCCAGCTCAGGGGCCTGGCAGGTCGGGGTTAAGGTTTATTGACAGGATAGGGTCAGGGTCTGCGCCGCCACTGTTGGCCCTAGTACCTACCCTCCGGATACACCCAAGACCTCAGCCTGCCTCCCTCCGCTCCCTGCCATAGGCCAAACTCCCATGCAGAATGTGGAGAAGAGAAAGAAGAAAGAGGAGGGGAAGTTCTACTAAAACTTTACAGTTCGGTATGGAAATGCAAGTTTGAAACTATTTGTGTATACTTTTCTGGCCCAGATGTTGTGTCACATTAGGAAGAAGAAACTTTAAAACATACAAAGAATTGTCTGTTCTTTCAACTTTGTAGTTTGCAGTTATTGCATCCTGAAGAAAGAAATTGCCTGGCCAAAGTAGTCTTTTAATTTCATTTTTCCGTTTTGAGTTACAGGTTTCTGGCAAGCTCCCTGACCACTACTATTACCTGGTGGCGCCTATATTTCATCAAATTTAGACATGCAGACTACCTGGATCCAGGCCCAGATGAACTGTTGTGACTGATAAACATGATCCCACCCTGCCCCCGTGCATGCTCCTGCTTTTCCCTTTAAGGGAATCTAAGACTTTGAGTTCCTGAGTCCCCAAGGGAGTTAAAGAAAAATGTGTTCCGGTTTTCAGTATTTGAGTTTGCTCCATGGTTTTCTGTGCTGCATCTCTGCTTGCCCAGAGTCTGGTGAGCATCCCAGCAGTGCCCCCACTCCTCCTGTGTTGGTAATTAATGCAGGGAAAATTTTTTGTTTTTAATAAAAACAAGCAGAGACGTCTATCAGTACCCACAGTCAAGGCAGAATTTGTTTGACATCTTGTGATTGCTGCTTACAAAGAGAATGACAGCAGTTATTAAACAAATAAGAAAAAAGATGCTGTTTATTGGTAGTTTGCAGATATCCTAAGAATATCCTTGCAACATTACTTACTGCCTTTGCTTGCATAAGTAGAAAATAGTGGAATTAATAGAGTCATTGATTTTTGAAGTCTAGATTGCATTAGAGTAATAATAAAAATTCAAATATTAAACAAACATATATTTTCACAAAAATTTTTTTATTGTTGACCCTATTACAGATGTCCCCTATATTCATAATCTCCCCCTCCCCCCCTTTGCCTTCCTCCACTCTAAATGTATTTTTATCTGTATAATACTCTAGGGGATTTTCCTTTCATTAAAGTAGATTTCAAACATTTGTTTTTATTATTATAGGAGGAATATTAGCATTCATTTTAATTAAACTTAATTGCATTTCCCGTGTGAAGTATTTTTTTAGTAGCTATACTAGTATTCCTGTAGGTTTGCTCCGATAAAAGGTTATGAAAAAATTGTCTACTTGCTTCCTAGCAGGTTTGGCTCAGTGGACAGAGTCTTGGCCTGTGGACTGAAGGGTTTAGGGTTTGATTCCCACCAAGGGCATGTACCTTGGTTGCAAGCTCTATCCCGGGCCCTGGTCGGGGTGTGTGTGGGAGGCAGCCAATCAATGTTTCTTTCTCTCTGTTTCTCCCCCTCCCTTCCACTCTTTCTAAAAATAAGTGCAAAAATATCCTTGGGTGAGGATTAACATAGCAAAAACAAAAAATTGTCTATTTGCTTGGAAACAGAAGTTTAATTTTGAAGTTTTCATTTAATTCAGAAATTTTAAAATGAAATTTTGGGATATAGTCAAATGGGAAAAGTATGGAAATGTTCAGGGTCTGATGTTTTTGTTTTCATGTCATGTTCATATGATCTAAGAAAAATAATTACTCTGTCCGTGGCTTAAGTTATCCTACTTGGAAAGTGTTACTTAAAATTTCAGTCCCACCTCACGAGATGATGTGGAAGCATCAGACCACATATTTCCCTAAGTACTGGGTAAAGGTGGGATTGCTGGGAAGGGAGGAGAGGAAACTTCCTGGGGTATTGGTAATAGTTTGTATTCTGATAGATACTTGGTTACACAGGAATATGCCTTTGTCAGAACTCATCAAATGATATGCTTAAGATTTGTGCATATCATAGCATATAAAGTTTACCTCAGTATACAAAAGATAAGGAACTCTAAACACACATATTGAAGTTTGGGCAATGATATGCATGTTGGAGTAAGGGGGAATGGGTTATTGATCTTTTGAAACTTACTTTGAAATGCATAAAAAAATGGATAGTGGAATGTTTAGAAATGTGATAAAGAACAAATATAGTGAAATGTTAATTGTAGAATATAGGTAGTATACTGTACAATTCTTTGAATATTTTTATATGTTTGAAAATTTTCATAAAATGTTGGGGAGAAAATGAAAGTGCTGTTTTTTTCTCATTAAAAGATCTGTGTACTTCCATTTTTTATTCTAGCCCACTCCTTTAATTCAAAATCAAGCCACTTGGATTAATACCAAAAGGGGCTAGGGTATGAATGTAGCCATTTAGATAAATAGAAAAATGTGCCCACCTCATATTTTCTCTAATAACTTTTGAAAGGCCATTACCAAGCATGGAAGCCAAGGGTGTCTTTACAAACAAGAAGAGCTCTAAGAAACCCAAACCATGCAGCCCCACCAGTGACCTTTCTGGGCAGATGAAAATTGGCCTCCAGAACCCTCACCTTGGAAAAGGACATGGCCTCCGGACACATAATCTTCACCAATGGCAGGCAGGTGACACCCCTAACCCACCCACCCCCGCTATATACCTTATACTAAAGCCCTATCAAATGAAAATGGGCTTTCTGTTTTCAGCCAAACCCCAGGGATTTGGCCATGAACACCTCCACTTTTATCAGAATGCCAAGCTATCTCTTACATCTTGATAGAGCCTTCTTTTTAAAGATATCTTATATGGGACCCCTGTGATACTTACGGGGTGTGTGTGTGTGTGTGTGTGTGTGTGTGTGTGTGTGTGTTAGTCTTGAAGGATCAAAAGGGTAAATTGGTTCTGGTGGAATTTGAACCAAACTTTTAAAAGCTAATAATAATATATTTTTAAACAATGTTGCTTAGTTGGTGCTTGAACAGTAAACTGGACAGTCAAGATTCGAAAGACTTAAAGATCTCAGTTCTTTTAAGGTTTCAAAATGAACTCTGACTGGTTAATTTATCTTTATCCTTTTACTTTCTCACTTGGAAAGTGAGGACTGAAACTGACACAAAATGCCCAGTAAGTGGTTCTCAAGCTTTAGTGTTTATAAGGATCATTTATGTAAGAACTTTAGTGTGTGTAAAAATTTCTTAGTTTGTTGAAATGCATATTCTAGCTCATATACTTGAATTTTCATAATCAGTATGTCTGGGGCAGAGCTCAGAAATCTGCATTTTCTTAAACACTCATTGTGATATTGATGCCATTATTGGGCCAGGTGAGAACTGGTGTAGATGTGTTTTGATATGTACTATGATAACTGATAAAAGCTTTTTCTTTTTTTTTTTTTTTACTCTTTTAGCTTTTTCTTGGGGAAAATTTTAAATATACACTAAAGAGAATCCTATCTAATAAAGAGGGAATATGCCAATTGACCCTCACACTGTCGCAAAGATGGGGGCGCCCATAGCCAATAAGGAGAGAATATGCTAATTGACTGTCCCACCCTTAAATATGGCAGCACCCACAGCCACAAGATGGCGGTAACCAATCCCTTCAACCCCGCTGGGACAGCAGGCACGCGCCTGCCTCCAGAGTCCCCCAGTCCCCTCAGCCCCCCAGCCACCCAGGGCCGGCCCGAGGCGCAGGCAAGCTCAGATGGTGGCTGCCCAGCTACCCAGGGCCACCCGAGGCTCAGGTAACCAGGGCCGGCCAAGGCTTGCGCTGCCAGCAGTGGCAGCAGCAGAGGTGTGATGGGACGTTGCCTTCCCCTGATTGCCGGGTCGCCTCTCGCCCCTGAGGGCTCCCAGACTGTGAGAGGGGGCAGGCCGGGCTGAGGGACCCCCCTCCAGTGCATGAATTTTCATGCACCGGGCCTCTAGTAGTATAATGAACTTCCATTGACCCATCACCCAACTTCAACAATGTTGGTTTACTTCTACACTCATCTACTCCTTGTATTCCTCCTTTACAGATTATCTGTGGAAGCAGATCTTAAATATACATCCATAAAGATTTTAGTAGGCAACTCTAAAATATTTAAATATAAGTACTTAAAGATACACCATTATTAAATCTTACAGAATTTGAGAATAATTTCTTAGCATCAAATATGTTAATGTCTAGATTTCCTGGATTTTTTTTTCACAGTTGATTTGTTGGATTCAGGAACCAGACACAGTCCACACATTGCATTTGATTGATGTGTCTCTTTAATCTTTTAATCTATAGGCTTCCTCTTCCCTCTTTTTCCCCCCTTGTGATTTATTTGTTAAAGAAACCAGGTCATTTATTCTGTAGATTTTCTCAGGCTAGATTTTCTGATTGGATCATCATGATGTCATTTACCATTTTTCTTTTCCCTGTAATTTCTGTAAACTCCATCACTTCCATCCTGGAGTTTGATCAGATTAAAGTTCAAATATTTTTTTTGGCAAGAATACATCATAGGTAGTGTCATATACTCCCATCAGGAGGCACATGTCTGGTTGTTCTCTCTTTTGTCATGTTAGCCGCCATTGATAATCATTGCTGAGATCCTTTATTTTCTAGAGAGAGCCCTGTATTTTAACTTAGGAAGTAGCTCATGGAAGAACCTTCTCCCTCTTATTGTGGATTTTTCCTTTTCTTAGTGAGGCTTTTAAAGCTTTCACAGCAAACTCCTAATTGCCTACTTAGATGTTGTGTTCGCTACAGAAAGCATAAAGGCTTTCTTGCTTTCACATCTTAGTCTTATTTTCACAATATAATCTTTAAAATTTGTCTTAGCATCTTCAACATTTATTTCAGTTCCTGAGACATATTGAGATGAATAGATGACCACACAATTGAAGAGAAAGTTTTGGGCCTGTTAATAAAACTACAGTTACAGGCTAGTTGACCTGGTATAAGTACAAATGAGTCAGAGCTACCAATTCTGTACCACCATCCCATCCAGAGGGGAAGGCAATGAATTTTATATATATATATATATATCTTTATTGATTTCAGAGAGGAAGGGTGAGGGAAAGAGAGATAGAAACATTAATGATGAAAGAGAATCATTGATTGGCTGCCTCCTGCACGTCCCCTACTGGGGATCAAGCCTGAAACCCAGGCATGTGCCCTTTACCAGAATTGAACCTGGGACCCTTCAGTTCACAAGCTGACGCTCTATCCACTGAGCCAAACCAGTTAGGGCGTAATGAATTTTTAAGACCTATATTTATTGATTTTTGTCCTGAAAGCAAACATGAGATTTCTGGATCAGGGCAGACAACTATTACTTATAGCAATAATCAAATTGGTTCCCTACACCCATTTTCCCCTTCAGAGCAATGAGAAGGGGTCTAGAAGAATGAGGTGTATATTCCAAAATCACTTCAGGAACTGGAAATGAATGGGTTCCTTCCTTCATTCAACAAACATTTACTGATTGTTGACGATATGCCGGACACTGAGCCAGCACTGGGGTAGATGGTAAATACTAGAGAATGCCCAACCTAACACATGCAACCATATATCTCTGTGGTTAGAGTTAGCGATCAGGTGTCATATTTATAGGTAATCAAATGTATATATTTCATGTGTGTGAATATATTTTATTATAAAGTCACTAGAGGCCCGGTGCACAAAATTCATGCATG